TACAATGGCGCTAAGATCTGCAGTGTCACGCACATTGTAGAGAACCACCCTCATTCCCTTCATATCCCTCTGGTGAGATGTAAGTTCCAACCAAGCAGCTTCTGCCCACAAACTGCTGCCTTGTGGAACCGGCTGCTTCACTACAATCTTAACAAGCTCAAGTCTACGGTTAACCGTTATCTTCCACACATATCCGCATAAGCTGTAACCTCTTACTCTGTAAACCCTTTACCTCGTGTGACCTCGAGGGCCTTGTACAGGGAGATCAGCACCGTAAAAAAAGAAAGAAATGAGGAAGGCGATATTGCAGGGTTAGAAAGAACAGTAAGATATGTAATTCGGTGTTCTTATTGATATTTTTATTTTTTGCAAAATAGTGCTCAATGTAAATTTACAGAGCATTATAAATTAACTGATTTAAAATATGTTTTTTTCGCTACACAGTAATAACCATGTTTTACCATGAAACCTGGTTATTACTGTGTAGAAAAAACATATTTTAAATCAGTTAATTTAAATATATATATATATATATATATATATATATATATATATATATATATATATATATATATTATATATATATATATATATATATATATATATAAACTATTCTAATAACCCCTTTTTCCTGTGCCTACACCTAAAATTTCCGATTTTGGTTCAATAAATTTTGAGGTTCCTTGTAGTTACAAGTTTTGATTTTTTTTTTTGGATTTCAAGCTTGAACACTGGACGATTGTTTTCGCTTTGTTTTAATGCACTTGATTCATACTTTTTTTTATTGCAAGTTGAGCTATCCGAGGTTTTTCCAAACGAGTACCACCATTTTTATATATTTTCGCTTGAGGATGAAACAGGGCTTTGTTACTTTAATTCAATTTAATTTTAATAATTATATTGAGGGTTTCCGCTCGTTTTTTGAAACATGAGAACCATTATCTAGCGAAGGAATCATATTTTTAATATATATATATATATATATATATATATATCAGATGGCCTGACGATTGCGTCTAGCATGAAACAGACTGTCTCCTCCTCTAAGTGTTGACTTCAATGTTCACTTTTGTATTTACACGCTCTATCTCTGATATTGACCACTTTATCCGATAAATATAGCACACCTTATATTTCTTCATATATATATATATATATATATATATATATATATATATATATATATATATATATATATATATATCTTACTTATGACACTCCAACATACGCATCTTAGGCTAATTCATGAGGATTGCAGGATTAACGCACTCAATACATTCCCTTCTCAGCGAATTCTTTTTCTCCTGATCAAACCGACATTTTTTAAATCAAATCTGAAGTCAGATTACAATGAACCACCATTGTGTTCAGATTGTTGTCATGTAGACTATCTGTGTGGTGCTTATATAATGTTTTATTCAGGTACATCAATGGTCAGTTTTTTGTTCAGCCATTTTTCTCCTGTTGTTATCTTGTCTGATGCAAACTATATCCTCGTATTGTTCTATTGTTTTAGAATTTATTATTGACGTATTTTATCTCAATGGCCGACATTGTACATTATATATATATATATATATATATATATATATATATATATATATATATATATATATATATATATATAACTTGTAGAAAAGAATGAATTAGCGATATTAAGATATGTCGAATGTGATCTTTAGATGAGATGCGCATTAGTGTGAATATTGCGGAAATTTATTTTTTATAGCATTTTCAATCTTGCTTTAAAAGAGGAAGTTTACTTTTGCACATACATAAGACAGTGTCAATATATCAGCAAATATTTTTTGCCTTCCTTTAATATTTTAGTAGGTTTTCGACTAGTATGAAAAGCCATGTTAAGTTTTAATTTTAGCGTTTCATATATGATTTTGGGGGAATATTTTTGAACATGTTAAATAGTTTGTTAATCATAACAAATAATATTGTTTTGATGTGACGATGCTTACAATTTTTTTTAAACAACTATAATGTATTTTTGTTCAATAAAAATTCATAAAATAAACAAAAAAAAGGTGTTACTTTTGCCGCACACTTTATATATACAAAATGGGTGGAAAGAATCTCTTTATTGAAAATTACTTTTAACTTTTGTTAATATAACTACACATATGAAACAAAATATATTGTGATCCCTAAAGTGGTAGAATTTCATTGCTAATTTCTGTTTTGATTTTAGAGTTTTTTCCATTCTCACTGTAAATATATCTCCTAAGGTCACTAATGTCACTGACTGTGCGACTGCCTAGAAATTGCAAGTGCATATGGAACTGCAAGTCACAGATACAGCAAAAGATACCCTCCCACCTCCCCACAAAACTGCATCTATGAATACAAAAAATATCTATAAAAATCTTTGATACAATATACAAACTATCCTTTCGATTTTAAAAACAGGAAATCGTTTAATTTTATTCATTGTAAACCATCTTGAAGAACTATCGAATCAGCTTCGATATCAGAATTGAATTCGATTAATCAAAAAGTTTGCTTTTAGAACATATCTTGTGACCCCTAAAGTGGTAGAATTTCATTGCTAGTTTCTGTTTTGGTTTTAGAGTAACAAGTGTAGTTCAGAATGGCACATCTTTTGCCACTGGAAAAGCGAGATCAGCTTGCATCTTGTTAAAAAATATGGCAGTACGTTGTACAAGTGCAAAGATGGTGACGCAATGTTCATAGAACCTCGTGCTTCAGTAAATGGCAAAGCATTTGAAATTGTCTTTTGAAACTGAGGAGTACAGAATTTGTGGTAGATACCCAGAGAAGTGGTTGTCCTTAAACATCCAGATTGGAAAAACATGTGCAAAATGAACAGTAAATGATGAAGTCAGTCGAGGATATACCCAGACGATTAAAAGCACTGGTGGACAACGCTGGAACCTATGTAAAACTAACACTGTACTGGACATATACCATTATACTGTTCAAAATAAAACGTGTTTTATGAAAATCAGCCAATAATTAATAAAGTTATTAACAATTTTAAATAGGCGTAGACGACTATGGATTTGCTTTTTTATATTGTCTGTGAATTACCATGACTACTGGGGAAATATAGTGGAGTGGTTCCCCGTTGGATTCTCCATGGTTTTGAATACAGAATAGTAATTATAGGCTGGCGGCCAACCAAGGCTTGAGAGGTCAGTTTATATTGTTTTCAGTGTAGTCATAGCTTCGGAGGAGAAAGAGAAAAAATAGATTTGTGATTTACCCGAAGGTATTAAAGCGAAAATGATTGCAACAGATTAGGCTGGAATTCGAACACCGCATGCTGATTCCACATTTCCACGTCGATAACTGTTGTACTACTACCACACATGGGATACTTACACACGCACATAAACACTCTTCAAACACACACACATGTAAACACACACACACATGTAAACACACACACAAACACACACACACACACGCTCATTCATATCTATGAAGAAATGGAGAGTAAGGGTGACAGTTGGTTAGAGTTTCTGTATTTGAAGTCAAGGCGATGCGACAGAATGAATTGTCCACTTGGGATATTGAATGTAGAAGAGCCTGACACTCCAATCTAAAGGCAGTTGGACACACGGGCTTCAGTTGCCAATTAACGCACAATATAAAACATTGGGGAATAAAATGTGACAGAAATACGGACAAAGCAATATATTTGTCGTAACCTTCGTTCAATATTCACGGCTTATGACGAAAAATAAAGATGTTGCTCGCAAAAAGTGATAGTTGGTCAGAGTCTGTGGTGCCAAGGGACTGATTTCTTGCTTATATATCAAAGTCTTCCTCGTTATTCATGCAGAAGACGGGATTGGGAAAGATTTATGACCTTGACTCAATATGCAAAATCTGCAAAAAAAGACGGTAGAAGATTTCAGCCTGTAACAGTTTTTAAAATAACATTTTAAACAACTACCTTATATATATATATATATATATATATATATATATATATATATATATATATATATATATATAAGGTATATATTTATACTCGCGTTCGCCGATTGAGCACTATGGAGAAAAAGAGTTTTTAACGGCTGCTGCTGCTTTAATGCATCGTCGTAATATATATATATATATATATATATATATATATATATATACACAATTTGTAATATTTCTAATTTAATATGACTGGTGTCATCATAAACGTCAAGTTTATCAAATATTAATTATTTACCATATATATATATATATATATATATATATATATATATATATATATATATATATTTATATATATATATATATATATATATATTAATGTATGTATGCATGTTTTTACCATATATTTGTTACTTTAAACGTTGTTATAGTGGACACTCGTATTTGAAATAAACTATTAGACTCCTCAACTAGTTTCGGTCAGCATGGACATCATCAGGAGAAAAAAATTGTTGTAGCAGTGAACTAGAGGATGAATGCAGAATTAAAAACATTATTAACAAATTCAAAACACCAGTTGACAGTAGCAAAAAAAAAATTAGATTAATTATTTATTATAAAAAATTTAAATCCTCTAACCCTAGAGTTAAAAACAATAATTCACCTCCTAGAACAAAATTAAATAGGGCAAATATTATTTACGAATTTAAATGCCCATTAAGGAATTGTATTCTTGATCAATCAAAATTCGTAGATAATTATATAGGCCAAACTACAACATGTTTGACACGCAGACTCACATATATACATTCAACTTCCGGCCGGAGTTAATACCGTTGGACATTTTAGTTCTGGCGGCTGTCCGAATAACTCTCAAGTCTGATCGTAAGGAATTAGTGCCATTGCAGACATATAACCATTAATTTGAACGTTTCAATCTCTCCTGTGGTCTGTCTGTGAATGACGGATACGCGGTGATCTGCTAGACTTTGGTGGTTAGTTTACTTTTCGGAGAAAAATATCTGGGCGTCGACAATCCTGATATCAGTATAATTTCATTCGTTAGCTGAACATTTTGGTAGACACTTTAATCCGCGATGCGTGACAATGCTACAAACACTTTTTTGTGCACGTACCAAAAGTTATATCTATCTATCTATCTATCTATCTATCTATCTATCTATCTATCTATCTATCTATCTTTTTCTTTTTCTTTTTTTATCATTTCAACTCCAAGTAACGCAATAAAGCCAATAGGACGCAAGAGGTGTTAGACAATATGAGAAAAACAAGTGAGTTCTACAAGCGAGAACAGATTTTTTAAAATACTTCTAGTACGTTCGAAATTTTAGCTAAAAGCTTGTTTTTCTTGCGTCAGTGGGTAGGACAAAATTAGCATGGTAAATTTAGCGTCATTTTTGCGGTAAAAAACACATTGTTTTGGAAATTCTTGCAAAAATCAAAAATGTTCAGAACTTATTTACAAATGAATGGAATTATTTTAGAATTTTTTTCAGAAACTTTTTTGTTTTATATCTGCTACCCCAAGTTACTTAATTTTAAGAAATTTCAAGAAATTAAAATTTCATCCTTAAATCTTCAATTTGTTTTAGTCAAACAGAAACACTATTTACTAAAAATCTGCTCTGAATCCTAAAATAAAAAAATGCAATAAAACAATGACATATTTTTTAAATAGAAAAGTCTTTTAATTGCTCTTATAAATAAGATGTATTAAGGGAAATCTTATTTTATTAATATTTTTCGATGTATAATGCATTTTTACAAGAACATTTGAGTGGATACTCAGTATATTTCGTCGATCGGCCTGAAAAGTCGAGAAATCTAATTAGAGAAAAATATATGCTGTACGGCAGGATTCGAACGTGCGTTTCCCTAGGAGTGGTGGGGCGTCAAGATTTACGTGATTTGACATCTTGGCTACAGATGTGTCGATAACGAAGCGCAGTGGAATAAAGCCTTTAAAAACAGATACTTCTCTTGAAATAGATCCTAATGTAAAAAATGCAGGATAATCGAAAGTACTTGGGTAGGAAAAAGCTACGGCGCCTTCCTTGATAAATTTCATCTCAACATAAAGAAGCTGGTTAGAGAACTGTAAAGAATTATTATAAATTAGACTTAATATGCCTATATTATTCAATGGAAGATGTTTGATATATATATATATATATATATATATATATATATATATATATATATATATATATATAATTATTTATTCGAAAATTATAACATAAATAATGAGGCAAAGGAGAAAATTGCAAATAGAAACTATAACAAAATCAAACATATAATTCTACTTACCAATTTTCAGCCATAATCGAAAAAAAAGCAAAATACAAAACGTGTCGGCCATTGAGATAAAATACGTCAATAATAAATTCTAAAACAATAGAACAATACGAGGATATAGTTTGCATCAGACAAGATAACAACAGGAGAAAAATGGCTGAACAAAAAAACTGACCATTGATGTACCTGAATAAAACATTATATAAGCACCACACAGATAGTCTACATGACAACAATCTGAACACAATGGTGGTTCATTGTAATCTGACTACAGATTTGATTTAAAAAATGTCGGTCTGATCAGGAGAGAAAAGAATTCGCTGAGAAGGGAATGTATTGAGTGCGTTAATCCTGCAATCCTCATGAATTAGCCTAAGATGCGTATGTTGGAGTGTCATAAGTAAGATATATATATATATATATATATATATATATATATATATATATGAAGAAATATACTCTTAAGGTGTGCTATATTTATCGGATAAAGTGGTCAATATCAGAGATAGAGCGTGTGTAAATACAAAAGTGAACATTGAAGTCAACACTTAGAGGAGGAGACAGTCTGTTTCATGCTAGACGCAATCGTCAGGCCATCTGATATATATATATATATATATATATATATTAAAAAATATGATTCCTTCGCTAGATAATGGTTCTCATGTTTCAAAAACGAGAGCGGAAACCCTCAATATAATTATTAAAATTAAATTGAATTAAAGTAACAAGCCCTGTTTCATCCTCAAGCGAAAATATATAAAAATGGTGGTACTCGTTTGGAAAAACCTCGGATAGCTCAACTTGCAATAAAAAAAAGTATGAATCAAGTGCATTAAAACAAAGCGAAAACAATCGTCCAGTGTTCAAGCTTGAAATCCAAAAAAAAAAAAAAAATCAAAACTTGCTAACTACAAGGAACCTCAAAATTTATTGAACCAAAATCGGAAATTCTTAGTAGGTGTAGGCACAGGAAAAAAGGGGTTATTAGAATAGTTTATATATATATATATATATATATATATATATATATATATATATATATATATATATATATATTTGTGTGTGTGTGTACGTGTGTACAGATAAATTGTCGTCTAAATTAATAAAAAAAAAATGAAAATAACACTGACATCTCATTTTAACAGATGTAGTTACCAAAATTACACAAACATATCTTGAAATACTAAAGAGTAGATTTATTGTCCTCAACCATGGTCTCAAGACGACTTAGGAATCACCTGCAACTCTTCAGGGCGGTCTCCTTGTTTAAGATGCTGCCATAATCCTTGCCTTCTGCTCATCTTTGGAGTTACAAGGAATTTTGTTGGTTACTCGCTTAACTGCACCCCGCACATAATAATCATGGGTGTTGCTGCTAGGGGAGTTAGGTTGCCAGACATTAGAGGTGATGTGGTCGCGGGAAATTGTCTGACAGTCATGACTGAGTTCTTCTGCTTCTGTGGAATGGTGCAGTCATGTTGCCAGAAATAGCGTTTTCCAGGAGCCACCATCTTGAGCCAGAGCTGCACTACCTCCTCAAGGCACTTGATGTAGGCCGCTGAGTTAAGTTTAAGGCCTTCGACAAGAAATTCGCGAGTTCTCTTCTTATCAGAATGAGTTTTCCGGGCTGCCGCTCTGATTTAATCACCATTAGACTCATCCAACTCTTTCCGAATCCCCTGCACTCTCCTCAGATTGACACCCAAGTACTCTGAAATGTTCGAGTTGGAGCTTCCGGTGCGAATGTTAAGCAGTATAGGTGCTCTTCTCCTCACAGATGCTACCCAACAGACCCTGCTATACTGCGCAGCCGGAAAAAAAATCAAAAAGAAACAACGCGCATGCGCGAAATTAAAAAAATATATAAAATGGCGACAGTTTACCCATCGCAGCCTATATCATCGTGGTTGTGTCTGCGTGTGCATTTAAACCCTGCGCAGATGATAATATGTACAAGATTCTGTAGTTTTATCTAATTCTCTGCTGAAAATATCCAGATTGCATTGAGTCCGAAAATATTTTTGAACAAACTTTGATTGGCAAGATAATCCTGCGCAAAGCGATTATGCATCTACTCAAAAGATTAACGGATTAACAGACACGCAAGAAGCATATGTCGATTTGGGCTGTAATGGTTCTTGATTTCTTGAAATGCATTCTGATGTTGTTATTCAACCTTTGTTCAAATGTCATCGCTAAAGTTTCACGACTTAACTATACAATCTCCTTTCTTTCTTGGTCTCTTCCATATCTTTCTATGTCAACAAATCTGTCTTAGTTTGTTCATCCATATCGATTATTTTGCTGCCTATTTTTGTTACTGTTGCTATTGGAATATCTCTGAGGCTAACGTTAGCATAGCATAGCATGGCATTGTAGTAGACGTTGAAAATGTTCGCCAATAAATTATCTACTACATTTGATATAGTTCTTTGTGATTATGTGGTGCCATTCTACAGGGTCTGATGAAGGTCGTCCTGGGTAAGACGATAAACTACGTTCAGCAGCAAGGCCTCTGATCAGGAGATTTTGAGGTGTGTGGAACCTCCTCTTAATTGCTGGTGTTCCCAGGTCCACCCTGACCCGGGATGGTAGCACCTGTTAAAGTCCCAACTATGGGAAAATAGTTAACCCCTAATCTGGGGTCAATACTCTATAAAAGTGTGAAAATAGGTTTTAATATTAGTTGAACAATTTTGCAAAATGTTATTACCAGTAATATATCTTTTTGAATAAAAAATATTACCAGCAATACATTTTGGAAGAAAAATATTGCTAGCAATAAAAATCTTATCGGCATTAAATAACCCATTGAGGTGTTGATATGCCGTGAATCAAAACAAACTAAACCAAAACCTGATGAAGGATCATCTTCTTAAAGGATTCATTCGCTTGAAGACATTTTTAATAACTGACCTGAGAAACTGTACACAGACGATATGGTTGATATTTCTGAACCAGTTGGATGCCATTGCATGAGCCTCGACCTGACGACGCTTTTCATGAACACGACTCAATTTTTCAGTTTAATGTTTTGGTTCTGTATCATCTTATGGTGTTGCATAGAAATATCTCCCGTGTTCAATTTCCGTATCTCTTATGATAAATTTGTTAGAAAGTAAGGAGTGTGTAATTGATAATGGCTTGGAATTGTTAATCGGAGAGCCGAGTTCCAAATCCCGTTAAGTTCGTTAAAATCACTTACACGCATGTAAACTTACGAAAGGTATGAATCCACCTCCCCCAGCCATGGGTTAATTAGTGAGGCTTGTATCACTGAACCATTATCATCTAAAATAAAAAAAAAGGTTTTGCAATCTAAACCTATTTCCTAGCTTTAAAAAACCCGCAAGGTTAATTCATAACGATATCTTTTGGATAACAATAGAGCCATTTTAAAAGTCTCTTTAAAATGTACAGTTCTCAATGCACAAGAAATTAATATTTCTACGTATTACGGAGAATTCCGAAACTAGAAAGATTTGTTTGAGAATGAAGAGAAACAACTGTCAAAGTTAAAACCCTTTTTTTTTTGCTCTACACAGAAAGTCATTTTTATATAATATAGTGACTAGTGATGGACAAGGGATTTATTACATAAATAAATTATCGGGATACAACATTTTATTGGGGCTTTAATAACAGAAATGGTAAAATTATAGATAAATATATAAAAAATATATAAAAGAACGGGAGAAGGGAGAGCAAGGATAAGAGAATGAGCGAAAAATATAAGAATAACAAAATGGGGTCACCAGTTATTGCACATTACTCTTCAAAGCAGAAAAAACATAATATAAACAAGATAAAAATATATAATATGCACACAATGACTAAAACAGTGTAGAAAGATATTGAATAAATGGAAGACATAATGAGTTTTTTAGATTAAATGCAATGTCAATCGCTATTTACTGTCTTCCTGATTGCTTTTCTCTTGCTCTTTCACGTCAGTAATGTTTACTGCTTTCTAATTCTTTCACACCCAATAACCCCCTCCTGTGTCTTATTGGTTTTACTGTCTTGCTTGGTGGGTGGGTGGGGGGTATTTGATTAAAAAAGAAATGTGCCAAAACCTTAACCGATTTCGGTCTTTTTTTTCTTTCATTTTCAGTCTGTCCACATCTATCTATCTATCTATCTATCTATCTATCTATCTATCTATCTATCTCGGTTTTTCACTTTTTCTTTCACATTATCTCTCTCTCTCTCTCTCTCTCTATATATATATATATATATATATATATATTAGTCTTTTCTTTCTTTCTTTCTCACCAAGTTCCTATCTATTTATCTCTGTTTTTCTTTTTTTTTTTTTCTTTTTCTCTCTCTCTCTCTCTCTCTCTTCTATATATATATATATATATATATATATATATATATATATATATATATATAAATGACAATAGGAAAACTGTAGTTATTGCTGACGCGTTTCGTCCAATGTGGACTTTCTTAAAGCAAAACACGAAATGAATTTAATTAAAGAACATAACTAATAATAAGAAAAAAACAGAATGTTCTTAGCAACTGGAGGAATGTAGAGGACGCTATTCTCATATTGTTAACTGAAAATAATGTCAGTTATTGTCACGTGTGGAGAATATTGTCATTATAACTTTTTCTTTTGATTGTGTGTACGTTTGTTTGGAGAGCAGTAATTTCTTAACAATAATATTTATAAATATTATCTTTTCTACATGTTAACTCTAAGTTTTTCATATATATATATATATATATATATATATATATATATATATATATATATATATATATATATATATCTTTCTTTCTTTTCTTTCTTTTTTTTTTTCTTTCTCACCAAGTTCCTATCTATCTCAGTCTTTTCATTATCTATTTTGATACTTTTATAAATCTGGTCGTATTTATTAAAAGATATGCTGGGAGCCATCAAAAATCTTCCCTCTGCGTCTGGCTGGCATCATTACTGATTCGTATTTATTGTTCCTTAATATTCGTCTTGAATCTGTTTTATATTTCAAGACGGAACATTTGTAGGAATATGGCGCCACTCAGCTTCATCAAAACCTCGCATTCAGAATATTCATTTCCTCGCGAAACCGATCAGCCTGTTCATATCTATTAAGGTTCGACTGTCACATTGATCTTATTAGGTAGACGCAAATGTTTCTAGCGAAACTGAAATACAGGCCTTCTTAGTTATCTGAAATGGTGGAAAGCGAAAAAGGAATTACCAATAATTTATATGGGAAAATATTTTCAGCGTCTCCACAACCCAAAATACTCTTATTTTATGTTTGTCTGACTCAGTCTAGAAGGTCAAAGTACATCGTTTCTTGTGATAAATATGGAAGGCTTGAAATGCAACAATACGCTTGAGTGCATAACTTAAAGCCTTTTTCGCTCATACCGTTCTTAGAATGTCTTCCATCCGATTCTTTAAAGTCGTTTGTTTTCTCTCTCGTTCAGTTCTTTGAAATGTCCCATAAAAACACTTTGCATTCATAGAGACGAATGAAACCTGTACGTAACTCGTAGATGAAATTTTGAATACCATATCCCGTAAGGACGAAGGCGATCATGACACTTGTTCATTATCATACATTATTAGGAAAGACAATAGAATGGTTAACTATTGCCTTCTATACACTATGGAATTGATAGTTTTCCTTCTCTTAGTCTAGTTGCCTTCCAAGTCATCCAAGTCTAGTCTACCTACCTAACTATCTAGCTCATAGCTGGAAGGAAAACTGATGGATTCATGCCTCTCCCGATGGAATTGGTGCGAAAGTGGATGCAACAGATCAGCTTGGAATTTGAACGTATTTTATGGACGTCGCCTTAGCCGATTCGGTCACAGGAACGTTGAACATTAAACACCTCACAATTCTGTATTTTAGATCTTGTCCTCTTTCGATGTTAATATGATTTGTTTTTCAGCTTTTGTGAAGAAAAAAAATGCAAAAATTAGTTCAATATTATCGGTGTGAGCGGGGATGCAGACCCCGCACTATCATTATTATTGACAAATTGAACTTTATACTGATTTGCTTTTCAAGAATTAACTACATTGACCTAAAATCTCTCGCGACGACGTTTTACGGTAAGAACCTCACCCGCAGAAATCGAATCATTCTGCAGGATGTTTACGTCTTGGGTAAGACGATAAACTACGTCCAACAGCAAGGTCTCTGATCAGGAGGTTTTGAGGAACGTAGAATCACCTCTAATTGCTGGTGTTTCGAGGCTCACTCTGACTTGGGGAGGTAGCACCTGTTAGGGCCCCAGCTAAATAATTAACGCCCAAACTTGGGTCAAAATGATATGAATGTGTAAAAATAGCAATAAAGAAATACGTTTTTGTAAAAAAAAAAATTAACAGCAAAAAATTCTTGAAGAAATTATTACCAGCAATACATTTTTTTAAAAAATATTAACATTTTTTGAAAAAAATATTACCAGCTATAAAAATCTTGTCGGCATTAAATAACCCATTGAGGTGTTTATATGCCGTAAAACAAAACAATCCAAACAAATCAGCGGATGTTTATGTATCAAATCGGTCATTTTTTTATTCTCAAATAACTTTTGAATAAAAAAGATTGATGTAAAACTTAAGATTTCTTGACTAAATAGCAAAATGCAATTTTAATTAAAATAAAAAACAACGAAAATGATTTTAAATCAGACTCACGCTTCAAAAAAGACGATTATGTCTTTTCATCTTCGATTAAAAATCAATAGAAATAATTGCGTTAGTGGGTGATCTTTAATCTAATTTACAACATAGTAAGTCAGTCTTATTAATGTTCAAAGTTTATTCTCAGTAATTAAGTCAACCTAGAAAATGCAACATTTATGATTGAGAAAAAAAAAAAAAGAAACCTTTTATCCGAAGAGCAATAAAATATCCACCAGTTTATAATTGAATAAACAGTTATACAAATTATAGAAATATTTTTTAAACATATCAGTTTTTCAATTCTGAACTACGATGTTTATTCAACATTTCCTGCATACAATAGGTGTAGATAAGTTCGCTGATTGTCCGCTTCCCACAATTCCGCTGTCTTTTGAACAGGAGTAGAGGTTTATTGCTTGTTTCCTGTTTAGGATTGGGTGTCCGGGTCATTTTTTTTTTATCCTCTTTCACTTGCAGTTATCTCTTGCATCTAAGTGGCATCTCCTTTCCCACAGACAATAATGTCGCTAGCCTTTATAACACTTTCTAATATTCTGAGCAGCTATATTCACTAGTTTCACTATTACAGACCTTTACAGCCAAGACCCATCATGCGCGTCGAATCATCTTCATTGCTTTTGTATTCCATTGGTAAGGAAGAAGTTACATTCGCTATATTATGGAACATACTCTCGAGAGGATATTTTTTAGCTCACTACCTTAATCTAGGATTAACCATTATCTACCTGACATATCCTCATAAACTTCAGTTCCTTCCTGCTCATTCTGAACCTCATTCAGCAATCATCTACCTCGAGAATATCTTTAGCTTTGGATTGGGTGAATATTTAGTTATAAAAGAACCTGTTGTATCGTCAAGGTGAATGATACCCAAAGAAGAAAAAGAGATTAATATATTTATATATTGCTATCGGATACATACAAAAAATACAGAACAATAAGTTACAAAACAATTAACAAGACAACTTACGAGGAATAGAAGGGGGTTAAATGCTGTATAGCCAAACGAAGTAAGATCAGTCCGAATATTAATCAGCTTAGTATCAACTTCTTTATCAACTTAATAATCAACTGTTGAAGTCCTTAATCGTAGACTTATGAGGCAGGCCATCTGGTAGAGTGATGAACGGGTGCCAGCTAGTCTACAACAGAATCTATGCAAGGTTTTATGATCAACTTGCAGTTTTAAATAAAATGAATCGTTACAGAAACGTCTCGAGTCGCTGTTTTTAATATCGCATAATTTATGTCGAGAGAATCGAATCTGCTTCATAGGCGACATGATAAACTCTTTCCTGTGGTGGACCAGTGATTGAATAACTTGTTATCTGCTACGTGTACATTAACGGCTCTGAAAGTTTCGGATAAATTATCAGAAGAACAAACATTTATTTAATTCTGAACGCACTTATAATTCTGTTAGATTAATGTTCTCTTCAAAACGATAAATAAACTAAAGTTGTAAGAAAACTAGGCAAAAACTGTTCAGTTCTGCAGGGTGGAAAACTTGTATCTTTTTCCCACGTTCTGTCGAAATTCAATTAGGTTTTCCTGGCTTAGTATCTAAGCTGGTTGGCAAGGTCAATTAAGAAGATCGAAAGAGAGGCTGGAAGTTAGAATGATTCAAGATTCGATTGCATGAATTATTTACTAAAACGAATCTCAGGAGAAAAGATGATCTATTGTAAACAGAAACGAATTCATACAGAACGGACATGTGATTGAACAAAGTACAAGAAATAGTGCTGCCTTTTCCTTCTTTCCTTTCATTGGATGTTGGGTCTCTTTCTTTATATATCGCTGGCTTTTCAGATATATCTATCTATTAATCAGTTCACATCTATCTATCTATCTATCTATCTATCTATCTCAGTCTGTTTATATCTATCTATCTATCTATCTATCTATCTATCTATCTCAGTCTGTTTATATCTATCTATCTATCTATCTATCTATCTATCTATCTATCTATCTATCTCTGCTAGCACAAATTATAAAAGTAGTACGGACCAGCCACATTATTCAAATACCTTTTGTGAGTCTTGAAACACCGGTTCACCGGTTCGTACGACCACCAAAGTTAAGCAATGCCAAAATGCAGGTGGTATAATAGATAACAACTCGGTATTGGAAATCTGAGAGCCGGGTTCCAATTACCTTTGGGTTCATTATATTCACTTACGCGTATATACCTTTGGGAAAAGTATGAATCCATCCCTTCTCCTCCAGCTACGGGTTCATTAGTAGGTCTGATTTCAGCAAATCAATTTTATATCTAAAAAAATTCCTGCAATCTACAGATATTTTCCGGTTTTGAAGAACCTGCAAAAGGTTGATAAGCCGTAAAAATCAAATCAATCATTTTACGAGGTTAAGAAAATTTTATTAAGCTCGTAAAATAATTGATTTCTTTTCTACAGCTTATAAAAATGATCTACAATCTGTTGTTAAAAGAATGGCTTGTTAATTTTAACGCTTTCAAAACGAAACATCTCTTTATCAATCATCTGAGAGACTCCTTTCCGTCCTGCATAATCACGGCAAATGCTTACAAATTTATAAGCCTACCATTCGCACATGTATTAAATATTGCTGCCACATGTGGTATGGTGCTTCCGCTATACATTTAGAAATTCTCGATAAAATCCAAAGTAGAATCTGCAATGTTATTGATCCTGACCTGGCATCTCGCCTTCACTAACATTCCCATCACCGTAATGTAGCTTCTCTCTGCCTTTTCTATAAATACTTTCATAGTAATTGTGATAAGCTTTCTTTTATATCAGTTTAAGATAAGACATTGAAGATAAGACTTCTCCTATCCCTCCCTTTGGCCTTGTGCCACATTTTTGTATTACTCAAAAATAAATATTACTTTTCTTTATGGTACCTAGACTTTATGAATTTAAGCGCAGTTCTCATCATTTCACAGTTAAAATGGCTAGATGTAACCGTAAGTTCTATGCTAACAGTTTCTTCTATCGCACTTCTTGCTTGTGGAACTCTTTTTCCGGCTTCTTGCTTCCTAGTTAATTTTAATCTTAAAAAAATGTATATTTAATGTCAACCGCAATCTTCTGTCTTCTTAATTCTTGTTCTTTTATTGTTCTCTCTTTTTAATAGTATTTTTTTTTTTTTCACATATTCTCTATCACTCTGTAATCCACTTGTGCCTTAGTGGCTTTATTGCCTGGGATGAAGTGATTAAAAAAAAGCTAATCAAGAAAAAAGGTTTCTTTTGTGGTAAGGAATTACAATAAAAATTTCATGCTTGATGTAAATGTATTAAAAATTACTTTATTATAGTGAAAAGTTGAAAGCCATAAGGAAAGAGATTATCAGTTTGAGAGGAATTAAAACAATTGTTCCAGACAGAATAGGTTTATTATAAGTATAATATAAATACTTTGATATCGATTTTATTATAAAATGCATTGAAAACAGTATTAGCGCATCGATGCATCTAAAATCAGGAACATATATCATCAGTGTTCAGGAATTAACTCGGGTTTTATTGAAACAATAGGATTAGTTCATGTTTTAAGACATTTTTATGTTTATACATTCTTTTTATAGATACAAATATTTAAGTAAATGCTCTGTTTTATAATAAACATTATTTATAACATTTACCGGCCTGAATGTCCGAGAAATGTTCATAGAACTCGAACCTGTAACCTATACGAAACCGTCATTTAGCCTGACGTGTTCTTAACCAAACGAGCCACAGAAGATCGTTCGATTATCAAGGTCGAATTTACGGCCTTTAAACTTCAATCTTCCATGAATCTTTCACGTATATTCATATCTGCTCAAAGCGTATCCAAATGTAAACAAATGACGATTTGTAAAAACAATTTACTTAAATATTTGTATCTATAAAAAGAATGTATAAACATAAAAAAAATGTTTTAAAATAATTGTCGGACTTTGTCCATTTCATAATTAATTCATAATAAAAAGACGATTCTAAAATTCAGGAAAATCGGAAACTTTTTCCCTTTTAATGTTCACAAATTTATTTTCTTTTTGGCGAAGCAGAAAACAATGGCTAGGCTACAAGCAATCATTAAAGACGCCATTTTATTTACATTGTATAATTGTTTTTTTTTACTCAATTCACCCCAAGCAAGGCGATAATGCCACTAAGACGCAAGGGGCGACTGGGAGTGAAAGAAAATGAGAAGACTGTAGAAGCAACCGGAAACCTAATCTTGAACAGGAAACAAGGGATAAACCTGTTCAAAAGATCGGGGAGGAGTGTGAACTGGGCGACATGTGAACCTATCAACTACTAGTGAAGAAAAATAAATAAATAGTAAATAAGATTTTTAGGTGAAGATATTAGAAGTATAGAGTTGAACTAGACTTTAGAAAGAACCGGAAACCCAATACTGAACAGGAAACAAGCAATAAACCTATTAAAAAGATCGGGGAGGAGTGTGAACCGGGTGATAGGCGAACCCATCTATTTCTGTTCAAATTGTTGGATTTTATTACGAGATCGACGCTGAAAAGTTCTTAACCCCCCCCCAGGATCCGTTCAGAAACACATTCTGATATATAGTCGTTGGGCCCGATTATAGGTTGAACCGAAACCCATTAAGCACAATTGTATATTTACATTGGGATCTTATACAGTTATCCAAGTGTCTCTTCCACGTGTAGGTCCTGTTTCGTGATCGCCATCAGCCATCTCAACACGTTTTACTCCATCTAAGGCATCTCTATGGTTAGTTTAGCTTTGAAAGAAGCCAATAGTAACAGAACTGATCTGTAGAATTGGTTCTAGCATTATTTACATTATTCGGACTATTGTCTTCATCTTTTCGCCACATTTATTACAACGTTTCGGCCGTTGTACGCTCCGGACTTCTTCAGGTGGTTGGAATGTCGAACTTAACCCTTTATTTCGCTCACTGGGGTAGACTGTTCTAGTTCCACGTGCCATGTTTAATGGATGTCAGTTATCAGTTATCTCCTGTTAATTTCCCTCTGAAAGTTCCCCACTGCCCTAACCGGGTATTGAACTCACCCTCTTTGGGTCCTGTCACTGGAACTAACTAACGCCTTTATCCACTGTGCCAAACAGTACACGAGCCAAGCTCGTGACTTTTCATTGCCAACTGCGTAACTCCACTGTAGGAGGGCCTGCTAGCTCACGCGTAGTAAGTTCCTCTATGACTGGTTGACAAATTACATCTAGGCTGCGTAATGGGTTCTTGTGAATGTCAAAATTACTCAATACTTTCTGGAAAGACCTTATATTTGCCAGACTTAGCTTTCTCTGACAAAAGGCTAATTCGTAAGGAATGAAATTATTACAATAGCGACTTTCTCCGCTAACGTTCTACTGCCTAAAGATTTCGTTTGTCTGATCAGGAGGTTTTGAGGAGCGTGGAACCACCTCTTAATTACTGGTGTTCCCAGGTTCACCCTGGCTCGGGGTGATAGTACCTGTCAGTGTCCCAGCTATGGGCAAATATCCGTCCCTCGAAAAAGGGGTCAAAACACTATGAAAGTATAAAAATAGGTTTTAATACCAGCAATACATTTTTGGAAAAGAAAAGTTTTACCAGCAATGCATTTTTGAAAAAAAATATATCGTTACCAGCAATACATTTTTTAGGAAAAATTATTACCAGCAATACATTTTTTAAAAAAATTACCAGTCATGCTTTTTTGAGAAATATTACCAACAATACAGTTTTGGAAAATACATTAGCAGCAATAAAAATCTTGTCGGCATTAAATAACCCATTGAGGTGTTGATATGCCGTAAAACAAAACAAACCAAATATTTGTCTGTGAAATCGGTTCTTTCTCTCATTCACAACCTCAATTTTTTTGTCAGTTGATATTAAAGTCAATTAACTGTTCACTAATTTTTCTGTTAATGACTGTGTTCACTCCGACATCCAGTGTGATATGAAGGCATATAGAGCCATGGATAGAGGTAGAACGTTTGATGTCTGGCGCACGATTCCTTCGGGCGAACGGCAATCCATGGTCCTGAACCAAATGCTAAATCTCTAACGTGATGACTTCATGTTGCCATGCCCTGGTAAATCGTTTTCAACTGGTGGGCTAAACTAACATAAAAGGCTGGTAAAGGGCGGCACCACTGGGCGAAGGACATCCTCAACACAGGTTATCGGCCAGGGCGGGAAAATTCCTCAGATGAACTACAATGGCCACGTGTTGACGACCAAGGCGAGCCACCTAGTTGGAGGACATCAGATGTGGCCAAAGCCAAAGAAAGATGGACTCCGACACGTTAAAAGCCCCAAGACACGCCACATTAGGATGTAGGAAAATGGTGGACAGCTCAGCACGTCGGTGCCTCAGTGGTAAGGGCGAAAGAAGAAGAAGAAACTGATAGATAGATAGATAGAAGATAGATAGATAGATAGATAGATAGATAGAAAGTGAGAGGTGGGAGGGAGTGAGATAGATAGATAGATAGATAGATAGATAGATAGATAGATAGATAGATATGGACAGACTGTGATAGATATATAATGAATAGATTGCGATATATATATATATATATATATATATATATATATATATATATATATATATATATAAAGATAGATAGATAGATAATGAACAGACTGAGATAAATAGATAGATTGAGATAGATACATATGAACAGACTGAAATAGATAGATAATGAACAGACTGAGATAGATAGATAGATAGATAGATAGATAGATAGATAGATAGATAGATAGATAGATAGGAATGGGGAGAGAATGTGAAAGAGGGAGATCAGTAAATGGCGCCAGAGAGAGACAGAGTAGAAGATAGAAACAGGCTGAGATAAAAGTCAATGGAAAAAAAAAATAATCGAAGAATAGTGTTCCTATGTCACGGCGGTTGGGAATCACTGGCTGAAATCATTCAAGGCCTTCATGGGAGACGCAGAATAATCTTTCAAAATTTAAGAAAAAGAATTGTTCCTAGAATTTTTTACATTAATTTAGCGTAAATTATTATTTTTACTAACGAATTTTTTTCTTATTTAACATCGTTTTATGGCT